ATTTACCTGTACTTTTTGACTTAGTCTTTCATGTTGTTCTCGTAGCGCTCGCGTGTGGCCAGCAGCAGAGCCGCGCCGAAGCAGGCCTCGAGGCTTCTCTCAGATAAGCACATCACAAGCAACGATTTTTCCCCTGGAGGCGGAAGGCGCTTGGCGGGACCTTGTTTCCGGCCGCACTTCCGACGACTCTCTGGGCCGCGCGGACGTTCCTCCGGCGAGCGATGGCGACCCCGAGGCAGCTGGAGGAGAGCCACTTCGCCTGCGGACGCGGGTCTCTCATCTCTTCCCAGGAGGAGGACGGATATGCTATCGCTGTCGACAATCGGGGACGCAAAGGTCTCCAAAAAGAAAAGGATCCGTGAAGGTTTCGACTCCCTCGTGAAGCGGCATCGAAGCCCACTCAAAGGCGCGTCGAGCTTCGAATTTATTTCCCTCAGACCAGCCGCCTGAAGCACCGCGACTTTGTGACGTTCTCGGGGCGGCGTCTTGTAAATAGACTTAGGCTAGATAGACAAGCGATAGAGGTTCTCATAATGTAAGATCATATGCGTGAGCGGACTTTCATGTAGATATAGATAAGTTAGCTCCCATGATGAGGTGCTCAAACCCAGCGAGATGTGTGAATGTATACCTCCGCTTCTGTACGTACGTGTGCGTGTCGTTGCGTGAATGCGTGTACGTGTGTCGACCTACGTATGTGAATGCACGTCTATGTATTCAGACCAGACCGGGAAGAGCGGCTCGCTTTGCTTCTCTTTGACGCAGCAGCAGGTGATGTGAAGCGACTTTTTGAACGGAATGATTGGTAGGGTTCTCTAGAGATTTGTGTGTTGTGTCGCCGTGACGGATGGAATAAAGGGCAGCGCACAGCAGGACCGAAGCAGGGCCGCGGACGAGCCTCTAAACGGACGGACGACCAGGACTGGGAGCTCGGACTCGCAAGATGAGCCTTTTTTATTTTGACACGCTCATTTTGTATTTTCCGATGGGGCTACTTTTGTGGTCTGTTTCTACAACACACACACACACACACACACACACACACACACACAACACACACACACACACACACACACACACACACACACACACACACACACACACACACACACACAGCTTTGTGTATATCATGATGTTTATTATAAATCATTGAAATAGAAAAGAAACTTATACGACAGGAGTCAAGGAAAAGAAAATAATACAAAATACCCTTCTCAAAAAAAAAAGGAAAACACCCAGAAGATATCAGACAGAAAGAAGAATAAAACCATAAAAAAACAACAACAACAAGAAACCATAAAAGTAAAACCCGAGTGAACTTCAACAGGTTCAGCTCGCCACCCGAGTGCAAGAGGGACGCGAACCCCGGGGGAGGAGATGCTCTCTCGCAGGATACAAGGTTCAATTACGGACACGCTGTTGGTGGGAAGAGGAACTGCGGAACGCGCTTGCGGCTCGACGACGGATCGGAAAAAGAGAAAAATGTGTGAATTTAGAACGAAATAGAAGAAAAAAGGCAACGAACGAGAGCTTAAATAGGAGGAATGAGGGAGTTAAGAAAATTATGTATATATATATATAATAAATATATATATATATATATATATATATATATATATATATATGTATGTATGTATAAAGAAAAAGAAACTGGATAATTAGTGAAAAAGTAAAGATGTTTTAATTGTTATAGATGAAGAAAGAACTTTTTTATACATGTAGAGGAGCTATTATATATATATATATATATATATATATATATATATATATATATATATATATATATATATATATATATATATATGGCACACACACACACACACACACACACACACACACACACACACACACACACACATATATATATGTATATATATGTATACACTAGTATTTTCCTTTTTTTCTTTTCATTTTATTCATAGAAGAAATAGACTGTAGGTTGTGTTTAAGTAACATTCCTGTCACAAAATAAGAGAGAAAGATGGGGTTAAGAAAAAAATATCGAAAAAAAAACAATCCCAAAAGAGGAATACGAAACAGGAATAATGGCAGACAAGAAGAAGAAGAAGACAAAAAGAAGAGAGAAGAAAAAAAAGAAATACCCATCATACCATAACTGAAACGAAATAAAATATACACATTCATGCACACATTCATGGGGCATCATTTCGGATCTGGTTTCTCTCCCTCGAGACTTAGTTACGTGGGAGGGAGGAGGGAGGAGGAGGCGGAGAGGGGGGGGGGGGGGGGAGGGGGGAATCGGGGGTCAAGAGGATATAACCACCCTACACATACTATTTATCTATTTATCTATTATGTTATGCATATATAATATATGTATACATACACATACACGGTCACTCACTCATCACATCATTCATTCATTCGCTCACTCACTCATTCACTTACTTACACACACACACACATACACGCACGCACGCACGCACGCACACACACATTATAGACACACACACACACACACACACACATATATTATATATATATATATATATATATATATATATATATATATATATATATATATATATATATATATATATGAGTGTGTGTGCTTGTGGATATGAGTATGTAAGTGTGTGGGTGAATTTATATATGAACATACTTACTCACACACACTTAGATAGATAGAGAGGTAGATATATAGATAGACAGATAATCAGATAGACAGACAGATAGATATAGGAATAGATACATATATGAATACACACATACATGCAGACAGAGACAGACTGACAGACAGAGACAGAAAGCATTCAGACAAGCAGATGAACAGAACAGCAGACAGAGATGGTGAAACGGACAAACAAACAAAAAGCATCGAAATTGTTCACGTAGAGGAACAAATGTTATGCTTAAGTTCCATCTCCTTCATAAAGGAATTGAGAGAGGGGAAGTTTACAGGAATAAATCTTATCTATGTATTATTTTTATTCGTTGAATTCATGTATTGCATTCATTAATTTAATTATTGTTCTGGTTAATGTGATACGGCTACATGTCGGTGTTTACTTGTGTACGTTGATGTGTGGGATAAAGAGTTCATGTTCGTGTATATATGCAGTTACAGCTCCAGGAAACAAGGGGTGAAGTAAAGAAGTAATGTGAAATTGAGAAAGTAATATTTGTATATATTCCTGTTTGCAAAACCAATATACTTATGAGAAAAAATAGGTATGATTTTTTTTCTTTTTTACTCTTTTTGCGAATAATCCCACGATCGCTGAAAAAGGGTATAAATACATCAAATTTATACATTAAAAACATCAACGAAGATGTTAAATTGAAATTTTAAACGACATCTTGCTTTGTGTTGTTTTTTTAACCCATTTAAACCAAATAACATATCAAAGGATAATCATTGCACCTTGTAATTTCTTTTTTCATCTTTAATAATCGATCTTTCAGCCATGAGGCGAATTATGTTAATAAGAAAAAAACAAACTCCGATTTTCTTTTCCATTTCTAATAATTTCTCTTTCAACTTTGAGGCGTTATGTTAACAAAATGATATAATATACTTTGTGCTTTGTTCATTATTAACAACTTATCATTCAGCGATTCGACTAATTATGTTAACAAGCTAATGTAACATACCAAGGGATAAAAAAATATCTTGTGATTTATTTTTCCATTTTCAATCATGAAACGAGTTATGTTAACAAAATAACAACACTTTGTGTTCATTAAAAACTTATCTTTCAGCCATTCAACTAATTATGTTAACAAGCTAATGTAACATACCAAGGGATATAAGAAAAATAACGTGATTTCCATTTCCATTTCCAATTTCTCTTTTACGAAACGAGTGATGTTAACAAAATAACAGAAAATAATGTTATGACACATGACATTCCAGTATTCTAGACGTCTGTATGTGATAGACAGTATGTATGGGTATGACTATTGTATGCAGTTGATCTATTGTTACAATTGTACTGTATTTCTTGTATAATAATTATGAAAAAAAAATGATTTTAAAAAATACAATCATCGTGTCTATGATGTTGATAACGTGACATATAGATCTAAATTTGTGGTTTGGTTTGATATAAAAGAAATGAAGAAATTCGGTTTATTTCAGACGTAAGAATATAGCATATCGAAACACTCAGTGTAAATACGTAACATATCACAATAAATTCGTTTACCTTCGACTTGTGTTTTATTGTTGCGTTTTTTCCCTTAAGATTTCGTTCAGTTTGAAAAAATAGTGGGTGATTATTGGCTAATTTTTATTGGCTGTGATGATAAGGATGATGATGGTGATAATAACAATTATGATAATAGTGAGGAAGGGTGGCAGTGATGATAACGATGATGGTAATAATGATGATGATTATTTTGATGATAATGATCATTATTATCATTACTATTATTACCATTATTATCATTATTATCAGTATCATTATTATTATTTTTATTATTATTATCATTATTATTATCATCATTATTATTTTTATCATTAATAAAAGTACTACTGTTCCTGCGGCTATTGCTAATACTATTACTACTATTCATAAAAATGATTATAATGAAACAATAATGATAAATACAAATATGATAATAATAATAAAATATGATAATGCAATCACTATTATCATTATAATAAAATGAATATGATAATCTTAATAACCATAATGATAAAGAATGATGATAATGAAAATGATAATAAAAATGATAATAATAAAAATGAAATAATAATGATGATAATAATGATAATAATAACATTAATGATGATAATGATGATGATAATGACATCAATAATGTAAATGATGATAAAAGTAACATTAAGAATGATAATAGTAACAGTGATAAAGATGAAAAATTGTAACAACAAATAATAACTTATTACTAATGGTAACAACAAAGTTTATATAAATAGTTTATAAGCGATAGTCCGCGATAAGACAGCAATATCGTTAACAGAGTTACGCATTAGATATTGATTTTGTTAAAATTTACATTTTGTTAAATAAGAA